CGTGCGTGCGTGCGTGCGTGCGTGCGTGCGTGCGTGCGTACGTACGTACGTAAATACATATATACATACATACATACATACATACATACATACATACATACATACATACATACTGTCGGTACTTACATACATTACATTACATACAAACAGAAGACATAAATACATGCATACATCGATGACATGGGCATATGTCAGCAAATAGCAGGAAAAGGAGGGCCATCAGCATCAATAACACCTCAAAACAAGCCCTTCAATAGAGACCCAGTAAAACCGAGGGGATAAAACTCCATAAGTCACTATAATGTCTGACAACCCACAGGCGAGAACTTCAGGAGTTTACCGTGGGGGCCCGAATAGTTAGCAGATGTATCCCGTCGGATAAGGCTCAAAGCTTTAATCTTGAGAGGTTTAGGGCCCTACCCAGGCCCCATACTAGTTCCTTTTTGGGATTACCTTGTAGGATTCTAAACATGAACCTCCAAAAGGAACTACTATGGGGCCTATGGGTACAGCCTCAATCCTAATCCCCAAAATGATGTGAGGTCTCGGGCATCTAACCTACTATAGCTTGCTGTTTTGCTAGGACCCCCCCACCCCCCCCCCCGCCATAGTTCTGGATGAGGCATTACATTAAGACCCTACAGCAACTGGGGTTCACGTCAGATTTAGTTATGGTCCTCCGGCTTCGGGTTTAGGTTTTACAGTTTACGCTACACCCTGAACACCTTTTGAAATTTTCAACCTTCCGGGACCGCTGCGGCGACAAGGCGCCAAAGGCTGTGTCAAGAAAAACTCAACCTTCCGGGACCGCTGCGGCGACAAGGCGCCAAAGGCTGTGTAGCCGGATGAAGGGGCACACATGCTCCACCTGCCTGCGCTGCGTTCCGTAAGCTTAAAAAGGGGTCAATCTACAGAGATGCAGATTTGACTAATGTACCTTTAATAAAGGAGGAGGCTGCTTAACAGGCGGTACACATCCCGTACTTTAAGGTAGCTTGGTTGCTCTATGTAGGGTTTGGGATGAGCTCCATAGATACATTGGGGCTCCTGGTGGAGATTGTGGGAATGTTTTGGGTCGGCGGAAGAATCGGTAACCAGAACGACTGAATCAGTAACAAGAACGGCTGAATCAGAAACTAGCCATGATTCAGAAATCACTCTCCAAGTGGGCGCCTAGGTCTGGGGTTTTGGGTTCAGGGTTTATATATTGGTTAACACGTGGTGTTAAAGTTAACGGCTTAAGGCTTTTCGGTTTAAGGGTCTAGGGTTGAAGGGTATATAAGGCCTTGCTACTGAATTGGAAAGATCAAGAGATTCTGAAGCTGCGCAGTGGAGACCCAGGGTACAACGAAGAAGCCCCGAACCGGTAACCCTGCAACTGAAATCCTGGAAGACACTTCAACTCGTAAAGTCGCGAAAACCCTTGAACCCTGGATTTCAGGGCTTCTGGGGTTTAGGCCGTGGGGGTTGTGGTTTAAACGCGGATCATGAGATAGAAACTCACTTTCCAAGTCCAAAACTATGAAGAATGAAGTATTCAAAACCCTGGAAACTGTGAAACCCTGTAAAGTAGGGAAACAGCAAAGTACAGAAGCCCTACACTGGCCCTACAATGTACACATGCGTTAACAAGTCTCAGGAAAACGCTGCTAATCTCTGCCATTTTACATTCTAAACCGAAAAAGCCCACAAACCCTCATGCTATACCCCAAACCCTAAACTCTAAATCCTAATCCTTAAAACCCCAAAACCGTAGCCAACGTCCGTGCGAGTCGACGCCTCACTTGGCCCTGGGCCCGGGGTTCTTACAGAATTCCATAATCGTAGTATACATGGACCCTCTGGGGATTGGCGGGTTGGTATTGTCGCTTGCGCATGCTTTATTACTATAGGCTTAGGGTTTAAAGTTTTATTACACAAAGAGGTTTACTGATGATGTCGTTTTCTAGGTGGGGTGTCTAGAGGGGCTTAGTGCTTCGTGCCGAAAAGGATTGGCAGTAAATAGGAACCTCACACAACATGGTGATGTTTATATTCATATACATAAAAAATGGGATGTATGGACATGGGCAGCCAAAAACCCACCGTTTAAGGGTTCGACCCAGTAATTAAGAGGTCAGAGCCTACTATGTTGTAGGGCTTGCGGTCACAGGTGTATGTATACTGTTGCATCGTACTAGGTACTTCTTTGAATTATGCTACTCTGTACTATGTCATAGTGTACGTCACTTTACGCTGCAGGACCTCTATGGAGGAGGTCTTCAGATGCACATATGTGTAACAGTGGGGAAATGTGTTGCAGACCTACTCGACCATGCGTATACACACATGCATGAAATATATATATATATATATATGTATATATATATATATATATATGTATATATTGATGTTTGCATACATATATATATATATATATATGTGTATATATATATATGAACAAACATCATATAGAGTCCACACTGCGGACAACATCTCTGTGTACATATGTCGTTCCTACATTCATTGCTTGGTGGGCTGCTTCTGCGAGAATTCGAACTTCACTGAGTGTTGACTTTCCCCACATGCACTCCCGGTAATATCTGGTACTGAATGTTAATGCAGCCGATGTTGTTGATGCCGCAATGATTCTGCTTCTTTCTTCTCGTAATCGACCAAGGCGAGGCTGTATTTGCCCAGTTTCAAAGAATTTCTGTGTGTTCGTATTCTCACACTGCAGGATGCAACAATAAGTCGTGCACACTGGCATGCTGGAAAACGCTTAAACATTGAGAGTTGCTGTGTGCAGGGCCGGTTGCTGTCTATCACGAGTGCACGGAGAGAGAGAGAGAGAGAGAGAGAGAGAGATAGAGAGAGAGAGAGAGTGAGAGAGAACAACAAACATAGAAAGAGAGAGAAGCGAGACAGACAGAGAGAGAGCGACACGCTCATGCTCGCACGCACCAGACACACACACACACACACACACTGACAAACAAGCAAGCGACCAAGCAAGCAAGCATGTAACCAACTAAACAAACATTTCGTTGCTTGGACGTTATGCGCCAGATGTCTACTGTCCATGTGCACACGGACCCATCACTCATGGTGAAGCAATGACAATGCTCGAACAGTTTGGTGTTGAAGACTCTGAGGGCCATGCGAAGCTCAGACAAACCTGATCGCTCTTCAGGAAAATGTTTTTTGGGACGGGTGTGGAAACAACTATGGTTTAGGGTTTAGTATTTAGGGGTTTAGGGTTTAACTTCAGTTGACATATCCCCACTCGAGAGTACTTGGAGATGAAAGAGTGGGCCCCTGCCGGCGCAAATGCCCTGCTGTGCAGAACACATATCCTGAATTCTATAAGCCCCCAAACCCCAAACCCTAAATCCCCTAAGCCCTAAAACCCCGAAACCCGAAATCCTATAAGCCCCGGAAGCCTAAGCTGGAAACCCCGAGGCTTCGGTGTTTTAAACCCTCGAGCGGGCTCCCCGCATCCAGCGCGCCCCCGAGGATGCAGCCAAACCTGTCAGCACTTTAGGGTTTAGGGTTTAGGTTTAGGGCTTAGGGTTTCGGGTTTAGAGTTTCAGGGTTTAGGGTTTAGGGTTTCAGCAATTCGGGGCTCAGACTCTTAACAACTTCATGTTCGAAGCAAGATGCTTTGCTTGTGAATCAAGATGCTAAACCCTAAACTACGTACCTGCTAAGGCAAAGCACCTTCTAAGGGGAAGCCAGATGTTGAAGAGGATTGATATAGGGGCTTTGGCAATTGGATCAAGGTTTTTGTACGTTGTTAACTGGAAGAGGTTTAGTTTTCTATACTGTAGGGTGTTATGGGGCCTCAGTATTTTCAACAGGTTTTGTTGATATCTTATCATGTAACCCTAAACCCCAAACCCAAAATATGAATCCCCAAACCTAAAACCCTAATTACAAAATCTTAAGCCCTAATTGCAAAACCCAAAACCCAAAGCCCTAAACCCAAATTCTAAAACCCTAAAGCCTAAAGCCTAAACCCTAGTTACAAAACCCTAAAGTCTAAAGTCTAAACCCGAACTGTAAAACGCGAAACCCTGAAGCCTAAACCGAAGACTATCAAAGCCTAAACCCTAAACCCAAACTATAAAACCCTTAAGACTAGACCCCAAACATACCTGTGACCCCAAACCCTACAACTAATAGTAGAGTATGACCCCTGAATTATAGGGTAGAGCCCTTGAAACGATAGGTTTTTTGATCCCCAGGTACTTGATGATCAGAAACTCCCCTAAACCCTAAACCCTAAACCCTAAACCCAAACTCTTCGTCTGAGAGGGACCCCTGAGTCGATGCTCTCTCCGGACTTCGTTGGATCCGGGTTGTCGGGGTTACCTGGGGTTTGGGGGTTTAGGGGTTTAGGGGTTAGGGTTTAGGGTTTAGGGTTTAGGGGTTTAGGGGTTAGGGTTTAGGGTTTCAGGGGCATCCAAAAACCTACCGCTTCAAGTCTTACTAGAAAGGATCTTTGGATCAGATTCAGGGTTTTAGAGTTCAGGGGTTACCTGGACATCCAAAAACCTGATGTTTTGAGGGTTCTACCCTCTACCAGCGCCCCCCCAAATACCCTCTAATAAACCAGTAAATACCCACTATTAAGGACCATAAGAGCTCCATTAAAGGGTACTTGGGGGGTGCTAGTAGGTAAGGACTCATCCTCAGGAGTCATACCCTACACCCTAAACCCTAAAACCTAACCCTAAACCCTAAAGCCCTAAACCCTAAACCCTAAAGCCCTAAACCCTAAAGCCTGAACCCTAAACCCTAAAACCTAAAACCTAACCTTCTATTTTGGAGGGTTTGGGGTCACAGGTAGGGACTGAAGGACTTCGGGTTTCGGGGTTTGCGGGTTTAGGGTTTAGGGTTTAGGGTTTATAAACCCTGCATTAAAGGAAACTACAGGTGGGGAGTTTAGGGTATATAGGGCTTCTATAGGGCTTCTATAAAGTATATAGACCTTCTATAAGGCTCCTATAACGGTAACTACCCACCTGAAAATGTCCTAAACTAAACCCGTAGACCCGATATCGTTTACGGGATCAGGGTTTCGGAAGGTTGTGCCCGGCGTCTTCGAGTTTTATGTATACCCATAGGCCCCATAGTAGTTCCTGTTTGGGATTCCCTAAGAGGATCCAAAATATCAGCCAGACGGGTGCAGGACTTGTACGGTTCAGGATTTTAGGTTCTAAAGTTCACAACCCCTAGGCCCTAAAGCCTAAACCCTAAACCCTAAACCCTAAACCCCTAAATTTCCCGTTCCTCACACCTCACGACCCCTGGGGCGCCTCTCTTCACAGTGAGGCGGCGCAGTCCTTCGTTTTTGCATTTCGGACCTGGGCAACGGGTTCTCTGAAAAAGCATAAGACATGACCTAACCCTGGGGCTCCAAGTAGCCCAAAGTAGGTACTATGTTTATACTGACTTTAGACCCCAACGTAGGTACTTTTCGTATACTTGGAAGCCTGTAGAGAAAATATTCCTGTGGTGGGCCCTAAACCCTAAACCCTAAACCCTCAATGCGCCCAATACAAGGGTCAAAGCTCACGTCCTGCAACAGACCGCCCACTGGGCACGAGAAGCCTTGGGAATGCTGGAGTTAGTCACAGTTGTAGACTTGGCTCTGAACGACTTGATACATGCATGATAAGAGCAGAAGAAGCAGATTATGCAGTGAGGTGAGCTTCCACACATAGCGAAACAGCAGCATCGAAAGGACATTCCGATCAAGGACCTCACCTTCCAAATGACCTTCGAAACCCAATACCTCGACCATGTCCAATTGAAAATTATTGGACCGACGGCAGAACGTCCGAGACGGCAGAACGTCCGAGACTCAAGTTGTTCTTTCATGGGCTCAGGTTTTGTACCCGGTTTCGAACCGAAGGTTTAGGACGTACCAATCATGAAGCAGCGTGCAGTGTGTGGTAGTACTTGGTGGTGGCGGCGGGAATAGTTACTGTTGCATTGGTGCCGACGACTACTGCTAGTTCTGATGCACTACTACTACTACTACTACTACTACTACTACTACTACTACTACTACGACTACTACTACTACTACTACGACGACTATTACGACAACTACCTTTCTACCACTGCCGCTCCTCCTCCTCCTCCTCCTCCTCCTCCTACTACTACTACTACTACTACTACTACTCCTGCTGCTGCTACTACTACTACTACTACTACTACTACTACTGCTATTACTACATCAATACAACTACTACGACTACGACTACGACTACGACTACGACTACGACTACGACTACGACTACGACTACGACTACTACTACTACTACGACGACTACTACGACGACGACTACTACGACAATGACGACTTTTAGAACAATCATCGTCATCATCGTCGCCGTCAGCGTCATCATGAACATCGCAATCGGCGACCACCACCACCGACAGCAACAACACCGGAGCCACTACCCACCGCGCCACCCCTCGACTCCCACCCACACACTCGCCCCAACCACCACCACCACCACCACCACCACCACCAACACCACCACCACCAGCA